TTAAATAGGTTTACATGTGTTCTCATTGGTCCACATTATCTCTTTCGACTCCAAAAAGCATGGGGTCACATAGATAACAGTCTTTTTAAGGGTGTGATGTCAAGTTTCACAGTTTTATTTAAGGGCCCGTAGTTCAGCCCGTGAACCAGCAGAGGGAGCCGTTTGCAGGACCGTTCCACGTTGCGGCACTGGCTGAATAGCCAATACCTACATTCGGTCTCCCAAATTGTTCCCTCTGCTGGTTCATGGGCCAAACTAGTTAAAATTGATTTGAGGACTTAAATAACTCTTGCGCATGCAGCATTTCTGTAACAGCCCGTCTGGTCATTGCAAATTATGCATAGTCCCCAAAAGGTAACAGTTCCAATTTAAGAAAGCTGCCACTTCTGCAAAGTCTGTATGAAAGTGTTCACCCTTATTACCAAGAGCTGCAGATGGTGAATGTTCTTCAGGGACAGCTGGACTCTTTGTGTCAGGTGCAGTTTCTTCTAGGCTTTCGGCACCACCCTCTACAGCAGTGGTTCCCAACCCAGTCCTCAAACCCCCTACCAGTCCAGGATTTAGGGATTACCCAGTAGTGTCTAGGGTGTTTTTAAAAAGTAAAAAAAAAAAGCACTTTCAACACAAAAACACATCAGGGTCTGTTTCTTCCTTATGTCTCACTCTTCCCTCGGACCCTTTAAAGCTCAAGCTTTTATGGACTGCATAGCCAGTCATTTTGGTTCCTGAACAGGGTCTAGGGCTGACCTGATCAATAAAAAGGAGGGCAAATTCTAGCCCATCTTGGACAAGTTCTTTAACTTGTGTCTCTCGTTTCTCTACAACCTGTCATGCTCTGAAAGTTAATACTAACTGTGGATATCTTTATATAGTGATTCATCACTCCTTTTTGCAGTTTACCCTTCAGGATTGGCTCTATGATTTGTCTCTTTGCTCTTTGGATTGACCTCCATTTTTCACTAAGGTCCTCTGTGTCTTGATAGCTTGGGTGTTACGCTTGCCCCATGCTTGGTGAATATCTTTGTACAGTCGACCTCTTACTATCTGGCAGTATGGCATGTTCTTTTCCTGTGGTCATGGAGTTAATGGAAACGAAGCTGTTCCCTTCAATGTTTTGTTTGGCAAAGGTTTGCTGTTTGCTATCTGTGACAGAACCAGCTGCCTGTGAAATACTTTTCTTGTTCCCTCATTCGTCTGTTTGTTCGGCTATCTCCCTGTCCGTACCGTCCCCACGCTTATTTCTTTTATACCGAACAATTCACCGAACAGCTGGCCACCCAGCATGAAAGTGTGCTGCTGGTTAACCTCTTGGCCTCATTAGAACGTTGTGGTTAACCACAGACACTTCCTAATTGTCGATGGCGGCGGCCATCTTGGACATACGAATGCTCAGTGGTGTTCATCGATGATTTCATGGAACTAAAAACGGACACTGTTTCTCACGAACACCGCTGAAAGCCACCAACCTCCTTTCTTCTATTTTTCCAGCATACGAGCGCCGGTCTGTTCGGTAGTTTCTTTTCACGAATCGACTTATCCCAGATAGCTGTGTCATGGAGCCCATTCATATAACGAAAGACTATGTGAAAGACTTTGGCTCCATGGCGATTGAACTGTGTGTATAGAATCTGAGCGCCATTCGGTAATAATGTGCACTCAGATCCCAGCTATCTGGGGATGTGTTGAATGTAGTATCTATTGTGTTCGGTAGTTCTTGTATTATGTATTTTCACTATTCTGTATAAAATCGAGTTTGGCCTCTGTCCTCTGCGATAATTGAGTTACTTCCCAATTATCTCCAGGACAGAGAGGAGGGTCCTATACAGTAAAAGATACTCACATTTTGCTTTCCCTGTCACTTCCTACACAGCTTATGCTCTAGCTAACAGGCCATCCCTGGACAGTGCCACAGCTATTAGGCATCAATGGCCCAACATTGAAAGGCAGTTACTTGGTTACTTTGTATACTTTTTACAATTGTTATTATTTCTGATGTATTAAAGCTTTTGGCAGGAAGGTTCTTTAACTAGCTGTTCCCCTCTAGTCTTGTGTTCTCTGATTGGGTTTAATATCCTACATATCCATTACTGATGGACTCTTACCATCCAAGGAAGGAATACAGAATTATCTAACAAATTACTGGCCCCGCCTGGCTTGTATCCAGAGGTCTGGCTTGTATCCAGAGGCCTGCCCCATCTGGCTTGTATCCAGAGGCCTGCCCCTTCTGGCTTGTATCCAGAGGCCTGCCCCGTCTGGCTTGTATCCAGAGGCCTGGCCCGTCTGGCTTGTATCCAGAGGTCTGGCCTGTATCCAGAGGCCTGGCCTGTGTCCACAGGCCTGCCCCGCCTGGCCTGTGTCCAGGCCTGCCCCGCCTGGCCTGTGTCCAGAGGCCTGCCCCGCCTGGCCTGTGTCCAGAGGCCTGCCCCGCCTGGCCTGTGTCCACAGGCCTGCCCCGCCTGGCCTGTGTCCACCGGCCTGCCCCGCCTGGCCTGTTTCCACGGGCCTGCCCCGCCTGGCCTGTGTCCACGGGCCTGCCCCGCCTGGCCTGTGTCCACGGGCCTGCCCCGCCTGGCCTGTGTCCACGGGCCTGCCCCGCCTGGCCTGTGTCCACGGGCCTGCCCCGCCTGGCCTGTGTCCACGGGCCTGCCCCGCCTGGCCTGTGTCCACGGGCCTGCCCCGCCTGGCCTGTGTCCACGGGCCTGCCCCGCCTGGCCTGTGTCCACGGGCCTGCCCCGCCTGGCCTGTGTCCACGGGCCTGCCCCGCCTGGCCTGTGTCCACGGGCCTGCCCCGCCTGGCCTGTGTCCACGGGCCTGCCCCGCCTGGCCTGTGTCCACAGGCCTGCCCCGCCTGGCCTGTACAGAGGCCTGCCCCGCCTGGCCTGTATCCAGAGGCCTGTCCTTCCTGATCTGTATCCAGAGGCCTGGCCTGCCTGTATTCAGAGGCCTGCTCTGCCTGGCCTGTATCCAAAGGCCCGCCCTGCCTGGCCTGTATCCAGAGGCCCTTCTGCTTCACTCAGTTATCTATGTTTAAATGTATTTAATTGCCTTCCGTGAATATCCATAAAATTATTTTTTGCCTTGATTTGTGAGTATATTGGTTTTTTTTGCATTCTGGGTTCCACCCTCTAGAGGGTGCTGCTCTGGTCAGCACCCCTTCCCGACCAAACCCCTGACAGTTACTCTCCAGTTTTATATAGTGTACATGGTGATGCACATATGCAATATTTTGTGTAAAGATAACCATCTCAAGGGAGATATGAAGCAACGTAACATTTATATAACCTTTTGAGTGTTACATGTATAATCTATCTTATATATTTACTTATGTTTGCAAGAGCATTCATAACCTTGTGATTTTATATTCTTCTCATTTAGGCTTTATCCTGTGGATAAGACTAGAGTGAATGAGTATGGAGAGTCTTATGAAGAGAAACCAAAGCGCAAACCACATATAAATTAGACATTCATCTGAACTGTATCAATTACTTGAAAGTTACCATAGTGTTGTTCAAGAGTATTGTTCAATGCTTCATACAATCATTTGGACAACATCTACATTGCCAAAAGCCTGAAATGTATTCCCTTACACTGGTAGTTTTTATAGTTTTGTTAATACATTTGTTTTTGAAATTTGTTTAATATCAAGCAACATCGATATTAACCTGGTTGCCTAAAATCGGTTTAAACATATGACTCTTGTACAGAAGTTACTTCGTTTCGTCATGGTATATATGTTAGAATGGGAAGGAGAATTCAAGGAGGACCATACAGTTTTTTAAGCTGTAATCTTTGGTGCACTGCAGCTTAATGGACAACATCTGGGAAGTTTTCAAATTTACCATGTATGAAACCTACGGTGGTTATGTAAACATTGTATTTACATGTCTAAACTTTTAAAAAATAAACTATTTTAAGAGTTGTAAAATTATAAAATCAAGTCATAACAAATATGAAATGTAATAATGTACAATCTGTTGTATTTATTTTCTACCTTAAGCATGTTTCAAACCCTTTGGGAATAATGACATGATAGATGTAAGGGCAGATGAAGTGGAGCAACACAAATTTGCAATTTTAATAGAAGATGTTTGTTGACTGGTATCAACCATTAATAAAAAAATAAAAAAAAAAAGGAAACAAAGAAATTAGTACTTTGGAATGTTAAACAAAAACCCACAAATCCACACACAAAAAAACACTTAAAAAAGCTATAAAGCCTTAAGGTCTTTATAAACATACCACAAAAAAAGTATACAATATTTTGAGAACAGTGTAAAGGGACACTCAAAATACTACAACATGTATGCATGTTATAGCTTTTAGTCTAAATAATTTACTGTATTTAGTGAATGCCCAATTATGTGCTGGTTTTAAAGAAAAGAAAGTTTTGTAGCAGTCTACAGTTTCACATTGCCTCCCCTAACACAAACCCAATTCTAAAACCATTTCATCTTGCTTGTTGCTGTACTGCAGAATGTTTGTTTTTTCAGACGTCCATAAGACCATGCTTTCTATCAAAAACACAAAGCTTTATGGTAGTTGTAGTTTAGAGCTATTATAAGTAGAAAGCTGATAACTGAATTAAAACCACAGAAATTCCTACTGTGTCCATTTGTAGGATAACATCAGCACAAAACTTAATCGAACATCCTGATTGGTCGACCTCCAACTTGTGTTGTGCAGGTAAATCCTGTAAGTTTATATTAATTTCAGTAGCTTCAAGTGTGTGTGTGTGTGTGTGTGATACACAGTATCTCACATGTGAGTAAACCCCTCACGTTTTTTAGATTTTATTATATCTTTTTATGTGACAGCACTGAAGATATGACACTCTGCTACAATGTAAAGTAGTAAGTGTACAGCCTTTATAACAGTGTAAATTTGCTGTCCCCTGAAAATAACTCCACACACAGCCATTAATGTCTAAACCGTTGGCAACAAAAGTGTGTCATGTGACTCGTTAGTGTTACAAGGTCTCAGGTGTGAATGGGGAGCAGGTGTGTTAAATTTGGTGTTATCACGCTCACACTCTCTCATACTGGTCACTGGAAGTTCAACATGGCACCTCATGGCAAAGAGCTCTCTGAGGATCTGAAAAAAATAATTGTTGCTCTACATAAAGATGGCCTAGGCTATAAGAAGATTGCCAAGACCCTGAAACTGAGCTGCAGCACACTGGGCAAGACCATACAGCGGTTTCACAGGACAGGTTCCACACAGAACAGGCCTCGCCATGGTCGACCAAAGAAGTTGAGTGCACATGCTCAGCGTCATATTCAACGTTGTCTTTGGGAAATAGACGTATGAGTGCTGCCAGAATTGCTGCAGAGGTTGATGGTTCAGATGGTGTCAAGAGTGTGTGGCGGCAACCAAGTGAGGAGTAACCTTCATTCAAGCATGGTGGTGACATACTGAAGCAGAGCATGATCCCCTCCCTTCGGAGACTGGGCCATAGGGCAGTATTCCAACATAACGACCCCAAACAGGCCCTGGCCGGCCATCGAGTTTGCCCGGTGTGCCGCGATGTCCATGGCCGAGGCCAGCAGGGGAGGTCACAGGATCTCCCAGACCGGTCCATGAATGGCCGGCACTATCCGAGCACCAGCTCCACTGTTTTCCATGACAGGCCGGTGGGGAGCTCCCTCACCGGCCCACATGTAGTGTATTTCGGCCGCCGGCAGGGGAGAGAAGGAGGTCAACAGGAGAGAAACTCAGAGGAGCTCAATCTTGCAGCTCTACTGGGTTTCAACGCTCTGGGTCTCGCGAGAGTGAACTCTAGCCCACAGACTAGAGTTCATTTACCACTAGGACCACCAGGGATGGCATATTTTTTTTATTTTACATATTTTGATAATCTGCCCTCCCAACACACAAGCCCTCCAAACATATTCACACACCAGCACACACACACACTGCACCCCTGACACTCAGAGCACCCTTACACACACTACACCTTTGACACTCACAGCACCATCACTTACACTCACACACACTACACTCCTGACACTCACAGCACCCTCTCACACACACAAACACACACTGCAGACCTGACACTCACAGCACCCACACTTACACACACACACAAACTGCACCCCTGGCACAGCACTCTCACACACACACACACACACACACTGCACCCCTGACACTCACAGCACCCTCACACACTACACTTCTGACAATTGCAGCACCCTCTCTCACACACACACCATGCACTCCTGACACGCACAGAACCCTCACACCGCACCCCTGTCACCTCACCCTCACTCACACACTCCACCCCTAATACTCACAGCACCCTCACTCTCACACACTCCACCCCTGATACTCACAGCACCCTCACTCAAACACAGCACACACACGCTGCAACCCTCACACACAGCACCCTCACACACACTGCAACCCTCTTGCACACACACCGCACCCTCACACACACACACACACACTGCACAATACTCTTTCCACCCTATCTGGCCCCAGCCCGTTTTCAGTGGGCCTCTGTAATTAAAAAATGCCCAAGCCGAATTTTCTTCCCAGTCCAGCCCTGACCCCAAACACACCTCCAAGACGACGACTGCCTTGCTAAAGAATCTGAAGGTAAAGGTGATGGACTGGCCAAGCATGTCTCCAGATCTAAACCCATCTGATAGAATAATAACCATTTCCCCGATCAGCCATTGTGAGTGGAGCTGCGGGTATGCTGGGGGGTACGTGCTTGGTTCCAGATCCCCCAGCAGAGCCGGACGGCTGCTCTCACGGACATCCCGGTGTACCAGTACAGCTTACTGCACACACTTCCGGGTATGGGAGGAGCCTGTGCGCACCATGTGCCATTCCTAGCTTATATATAAGGCAGTCAGTGTGCTGGTAGTGTCCCAGTCTGGGTGAAGGAGTCACTAACTGTGCTGCTGAGTGACTGTGAGGGGCCATTAGAGTACACTGCCATAGCTCTGCGCTCTCTTTCTGTCACTGTTGTGTATGAGTGTGAATTTATTAGAGTAGGCTGAGAGCTACAATTGCAAGAAAAAGTATGTGAACCCTTTGGAATGATATGGATTTCTGCACAAATTGGTCATAAAATGTGGTCTGATCATCATCTAAGTCACAACAATAGACAACCATTCTGCTTAAACTAATAACACAAAAAGAATGAAATGTTGCCATGTTTTTTTGAAAACACCATGTAAACATTCACAGTGCAGGTGGAAAAAGTATGTGAACCCTTGGATTTAATAACTGGTTGAACCTCCTTTGGCAGCAATAACTTCAACCAAAAGTTTCCTGTAGTTGCAGATCAGACGTGCACAATGGTCAGGAGTAATTCTTGACCATTCCTCTTTACAGAACTGTTTAAGTTCAGCAATATTCTTGGGATATCTGGTGTGAATCGCTTTCTTGAGGTCATACCACAGCATCTCAATCGGGTTGAGGTCAGGACTCTGACTGGGCCACTTCAGAAGGCGTATTTTCTTCTGTTTAAGCCATTCTGTTGTTGATTTATTTCTATGCTTTGGATCATTGTCCTGTTTCTACACCCATCTTCTGTTGAGCTTCAGCTGGTAGACAGATGGCCTCAAGTTCTCCTGCAAAATGTCTTGATAAACTTGGGAATTCATTTTTTCTTTGATGATAGCAATCCGTCTAGGCCCTGAGGCAGCAAAGCAGCCCCAAACCAGCCCCAAACCACGATGCCCCCACCACCATACTTCACAGTTGGGATGAGGTTTTGATGTTGGTGTGCTGTGCCTTTTTTTTGCCACACATAGTGTTGTGTGTTTCTTCCAAACAACTCAACTTTGGTTTCATCTGTCCACAGAATATTTTGCCAGTACTGCTGTGGAACATCCAGGTGCTCTTGTGCAAACTGTAAACGTGCAGCAATGTTTTGTTTGGACAGCAGTGGCTTCCTCTGTGGTATCATCCCATGAAATCCATTCTTGTTTAGTGTTTTACGTATTGTAGATTCGCTAACAGGGATGTTAGCATTTGCCAGTGACTTTTGTAAGTCTTTAGCTGACACTCTAGGATTCTTCTTCACCTCATTGAGCAGTCTGCGCTGTGCTCTTGCAGTCATCTTTACAGGACGGCCACTCCTAGGGAGAGTAGCAGCAGTGCTGAACTTTCTCCATTTATAGACAATTTGTCTTACCGTGGACTGATGAACAGCAAGGCTTTTGGAGATACTTTTATAACCCTTTCCAGCTTTATGCAAGTCAACAATTCTTAATTGTAGGTCTTCTGAGAGCTCTTTTGTGCGAGGCATCATTCACATCAGGCAATGCTTCTTGTGAAAAGCAAACCCAGAACTGGTGTGTGTTTTTTATAGGGCAGGGCAGCTGTAACCAACACCTCCAATCTCATCTCAGTGATTGGACTCCAGTTGGCTGACATCTCACTCCAATTAGCTCTTGGAGATGTCATTAGTCTAGGGGTTCACATACTTTTTCCACCTGCTCACATGGTGTGTTTAATAAAAACATGGCAACATTTCATTCTTTGTGTGTTATTAGTTTAAACAGACTGTGATTGTCTATTGTTGTTACTTAGATGATGATCAGATCACATTTTATGACCAATTTGTGCAGAAATCCATATCATTCCAAAGGGTTCACATACTTTTTCTTGCAACTGTATGTAAGGGAGGGGGACTGGCTGTGTTTGTCTCTTGTATTGTGTGTGTGTGTGTGTGTGTGTGTGTATACATAGGAGGCTGTGAGCTATGAGGGGGCTGTGTGTCTAGTATTATGTGTATGTTCCTGGAAGTGTATTTTGTGTGTGTGTGCTTCACTGTATGGGGGTGAGGGCTGCCACTACCACAAAAAATCATGTAGCTTTGTGTTGCTGAACATTATAAGCTGAGTGTGGGGACAGTGTCCTATGCTTTCTTATGAATCACAGATTTTGTATGCCCTCAGTGATACAAACATGATTATTTGCCAAGATGAGAATTGTCAGGAATTGAACATAACTGAGCTGAAATCATTGTTGGCTTGGAGAATTTTCCCAGTTTGGCCATTTTGACCTTAATCCCTTAGTGACCAAACCATTTATCAATTTCCTTACCATTAAGGACCAGGGCTGTTTTTACATTTCTGCATTGTTTGTGTTTAGCTGTAATTTTCTTCTTACTCATTTACTGTACCCACACATCATATATACTGTTTTTCTCACTGTTAAATGGTCTTTCTCAAGATACCATTATTTTCATCATATCATATAATGTACTATAAAAAAAATTATAAAATATAAAGAACAAAAGTAAAACACACACTTTTTCTAACTTTGATCTGTTACGCATCTACAACCACCAAAAAAACACCCATGCTAAATAGTTTCTAAATTTTTTCCTGAGTTTAGAAATACCCAATATAAATATGTACTTAGCCTTTTTTTGGAAAGTTATAGGGCTATAAGTAGCACTTTGCTATTTCCAAACCATTTTTTTTAAGTTACATTGTAACACTGATATCTGTCAGGAATCCCTGAATAAACCTTCACATCTATATTTTTTTTTTTTAAAGAAGACAACCTAAGGTATTAAACTTGGGGTATTTTGACTCTCTTCATGCAACCATTTTACCACTAATCTATGCCAAATTAAAAAAAAAAACAAATTGGTGATTTTTTTTGACACACATATCAATTTAAGAATATATGGGATACTTGCCAAAGAACACTGCAATATGTGTTTAGCACCATCTCCTGAGTACAGTTATACCACCCATGTATAGGTGTGTCAGGTTCTCTGGGGGCTAAAATACCTTATTTGGAGGGTGCACATTCCAGTTTTCCAACTTGGAGTTTTCTCAGCTGGTCATCATGCATCCATGTCCTATTTGGGACATTTTTGAAGCCGGCCAATGTAAATTACCCCAATCAAACCATATATTTTTGAAAAGTAGACAACCCAGGGTATTCAATATAGGGTGTATCCAGTCTTTTTTAGTAGCTACTTAGTCACAAACACTGGCCAAAATTAGCATTTATATTTGTTTGTGTGTTAAAAATGCTAAAAACAATTATGAACGCTAACTTTGGCCAGTGTTTTTGGCTACTAAAAAAGACTGAACACACCCCATTTGCAATACCTTGGGTTGTCTTCTTTTGCAAATGGTATGCCATCATGAGGGTAATTATTATTCCTGGGTTATTCTCAACGCCAATTTTCAGGGACAGCAAATTTACACTGTTATACAGGCTGTACACTTTACATTGTAGCAGAGTGTCATTTCTTCAGTGTTGTCACATGAAAAGATATATAATTTATTTTAAAAATGTGAGGGGTTTACTCACTTTTGTGAGATATATGTTAAACAAAAATCTACACACCAGTCAAGCCATAAGACTTCCTTTTCCCCACAGAAATCATAAATCTGCAGTGATGTTACTACCGCAGAGAATTCTGGGTGGGCATATGCAAATTGGTTTAACAAAGAATCACATTTTTGCCTCATTCCATTTTAAACATGGATTCCTTTGAGTCTGTGTTTGCTGTATACAACAGCTTTGAAACACAACTTAGGAAAAGATGCAAAGCCAGCAAACCACTCATGGACAGCTGTTTGCAAATCATCAGCATGAGGTTGGTTACCAGGGCCGGACTGGGGATTCCAAAGCAGCCCTGGAAAAAAAATCTATGCCAGCCCCATAAGTCATTGCGCCATATATTGTTGCATGTAATATGTAAGGCTATGTCTTGCCACCCTAGACGATATTTTTATTTATAGAGAGAGAGAGAGAGAGATTGCTTTTTCCAATATAAAATATTGGTCCTTTCAGAGTAAAATTTTTAATTATACAGTAAGCATACTCACATGCAGACACAGACAATCTCACTGACACAAGCGGATTGATACACAGCCTCATAGACAAACAAACAAACAATCTCACTGATATACATAAGGTCATTGACATAAAAACACAAGCTCACTCAGTAGCAGGCGCGCACACCCACACAAGCAAGCCCACTCACTAGCAGGCGCGCACACACACACAGCTTAATGTAGTGGCTCTGGTGTCTATAGCCTGTCCCTGCAGGCTTTTCAATGTAAACACTGACTTTTTAGAGAAAAGGCAGTGTTTACATTGCTTCCTAGTGACAGACACTCAGACGGTCACTAGAGGTGCTTCCTGTGTCAGTGCAGATTGGCTGAGATCATCAAGCTTGATGATCTTAGCCATAGAGGCAGGGCCAGTCGAGGGGCGACCAGCACGACGTGGGGGGGGGGGAAGGTGAGTAAAAACACACATACCATAACAGACACACACCATGATACAGACAGACCGTGACACAGACACACACTGTGACACAGACAGAAACACACATACACTGTGACACAGGCAGAAACACACACACACACCATGACAGACAGACACACCATGACAGAGACACACACATACCATGACAGACACACACCTTGACACACACACCCCATAACACAGACAGACTGTGACACAGACACACACACACACACCATGACACAGACACACATTACATGACACACACCCACATACACCACGATACAGAGAGATCGTGACACAGACACACATATTACATGACACACACACCATGACACAGACAGACACACATTGCATGACACAGACGCACACTATGACAGAGACACACACCATGACACAGACAGACACAATGACACAGACAGAGACACACACACACCATGACAGACAGAGACACACACATAATTTCTACCTGTGTGCTGACATAGGGAGCTCTTCTGGCGGCCGCATGGTGGAGCTGAGTCTTCTTGCGACCGCAGAGGGAGCTGGCTGTTCTGTCTCTGCTCCCCCTCCCCAGCGCGCCGCTTAATGAGACTGGGGCCGGAATATGACGTCATATTCCGGCCCCGGTCTCTTTGTAGCGCGCTAGGGAGGGGGAGCAGAGACAGAACAGCCAGCTCCCCTGCGGCCGCCAAAGGAGCTCCCTCTGCGGCCGCAAGAAGACTCAGCTCCCCCATGCTGCTGCAGTTGAGCCAGCTGCCTGCCCGACCCCAGGTGCAGACGGCCCACCAGGAAATTTCCCGGTATCCCAGTGGGCCAGTCCGGCCCTGTTGGTTACTGGTTTGCTTATTGAGGCTTGGTAGTGCTTGGGAAGCAAAACCCAAATTATTATTATTATGTTATTATTTATATAGTGCCAACAAATTCCACAGCGCTTTACAGTGGGTGGACGAACAGACATGTAGTTGTAAATAAAAACTCTAAATGGAGAGTGGAAATTCCAGGAGCTAGTTCAGTGACTAATAGCTACAATCGTGTAAAGTAAAATAGCTGATGCTATACCTTTAAATACTCAATATGTGTAATGTCCCTTTAAATAGGGGATCATAGATAAAAAAAACAAATAAAGAGAAGTGAATATATGCATATGTATAGGACTAAAACATGAAGCAGGATAGCGATCAAAGAAAAAAATAATAAAATATAAAGGGATAAAGTACGATAGAAAATAAAAAATGAATAAAAAGAGAAAAAAAAAAAAACAACAAACCAAGCTCCTACATAAATGTGCTGCAAATATGTATAGAACAGGTATCTTAATCCCCAGTGAGGTATGAGGTAGATGATGCCCGTTCTAGATAATATACTTAGTATTATCAAAGATGAAAGTATCTAAATATTAAGCAACACAGTATATGGAACTGTTAGCTTAAGCAATATATACAATGTATCGCTAGTAGACAGAAGCAATAAAAACTGGATCTGTTAATCAAAAAATGCCAGTTTATTATACACTTAAAAATATAAATACAAATTATTAAAATACAGGTCAGGGATAGTTCATGAGTGCATTACCAGTCTTGTATGGGTCAAATAACAGCAAGGACCTGTATGAGGATGGATATGGATTGTGTTAACAGCTGGTGTGTATTCCGGCTGCCGGTGAGGACGATGTTGGTCTAAGAGCACGTCCCGAGCAGGAGCCTCACTTCGGGGGATGTGCAGAGCAGACGTTTCCGGTTGCTGTTATCACCAAAAGAGAGATGAGTTGCTGCTGGTGAACGCTTCTGATTCTGTATTCTGCTGTGAAAATCTCTTACGCGTTTCGTAGGGAATGTGCCCTACTTCATCAGAGACGTGATGCTGTCTATTGCATCAGTCATTCTTTAAATTCACATTTCCTTAATTGCCAATGATACATTCTTGTATTGTGCAAATAGATTAAATTATGTAGAATAAATGAAGTGATATAAATTGCATGAGGGAATATGAAATTAGTCACAATAAACATTTAGTAAATCTTTTGTGTTTATACATTTATATAAAAATAATTCAAATTGTTCATACATATATATATATAAATAGAAATGCGTTACATACAGGGTTTGATCAAAAAATATTTACATGATTGCATGGAGTACAAATAGATGAATCATGACACACTGTGTGGGCTTAAAAACCAATCTACATTCTGAATATAGGATATTAAAATATATATTAGGAAATATAGGTGGTAGGAGACATATATAAGTGAATTTATGAATATATAAAAAATGGGTTTATATAAAAGAAAGTAATTTATAGAAGAGGATATTTATAAAAAATGAAGGATATTTATAGAAAATGAAGGATATTTATAAAAATGGTATCTTAAAATGCTAGCTGTGTATGATATATAGTTGCCAATAATAATTTGGTGTTTATAGTGACACAAACATTTGATATTTTAGTTTCTCTCCATTCTGAAATAAAGCAAAAAGGATTAATATTACAGCCATTGTGCAGTTGTGGGAATATATATATGTGGCGAAACCAACCTCGCCACTATGCACTGGAGAAGCCTGGTTGCCAGCCTCCTGCCATCTGACTATGGCCCCCTTGTGAATTCGTACTTTTGTATGCAATATTTGGGCATGTGACATTCTTATATTGCTGCTACTGGCCCTTTAAGGGCCATCCGTGGACATATTCTGACTGTTAGGAATAATGCCCTTTAAGATTGTGTAGCAAATTGCATTCAGGCTGTATTTAATATTATGTGTTCGGTAAACAGTGTTATGTGTATGCAGCATTCGTCTGATTGTTCGGTAGAATTACTCCATTCATTATATTGGGTGAAACTACCGAACAACCAGACCACCCTGGAGTAAGTGTGCCTCCAATTACCGTTTGCAACAATGTTGCAAACGGGTAATTGGCAATATGTGTAATGTGTGTTGTGTCCTCTGGGTGGCCGCCATTCGGGAAACGAACACGTGGCGGCGGCCATCTTAAACTCCCGAACAGCGGTGTTTTGCCGTCGAGTGTCTGGAACTAAAATCGGACACTCGACTAAGCAAACACCGCTGAGACCTCCAGACTTCCAACAATTCGTGCAGAAACTACCGAACGGCCCGCCGTTCGGTAGAAAGGATCCCACGAACAGGGGGATTCATACGAATCCTCCCCAAGCTCCATAACCCAGGCAATTCGTGTGATTCATTCCCTTTTCTGTGACCGACTGCAGGGCCAAAGTACATGGAACTATTTTCGGATACTTTTGCCATGCAGTCGGTCAAAACTTTAACCCTTTATAATTCCTGAACCCCTGGTCCGATCTGGGTGATTTTTGGATATGTGTCTCACCCAGATCAGGGTTACCAGGGGATGTAACATTTAAAGGGGTATTCCTATGTTTAGGGGTACATCCAGTATCCCAGGGAATTTGTGTCTGTACTAATGGGATTATGTGTCACACTAAGGGGAGGAGATGTGTGGGAGGTAACTGGTACATTATTGGCTGGGGTACTAATTGTTGTGGATCCCTCCCTTGCATGGGAGAATGTCTTAAAAGGAGGCTGTGTGAATAAATCGATAGATTCTGCTTAACCCTCAAAACGAAGTGTCGTCTCGTTATTGGGGGAATTGGATTGTGTGCTGACTGCCAGGAGTGTAAGCCGTTCGTATGGCTTTTCCTGTTCGGCTGCTTCCAGAGTTCGTGTATTTCTTGTTCGTGAGTTGGGGATTCGTACAGTTTGGAGTTCGGGAGGTTGGTGATTGCAATAGCTGCTGGTCTATGGGAAAGGGGATTATCGCCTAAACGGATTTATCCCCTTGTGAGAGAAACGGTCCGTTACAATATATATATAAATATCTAAAGGAATACATAAGAAGAGTGACTCACTTGGTATTTTTAAATAGATAAATGAGGATCAGTAAATGGAAATTGTATTCATATCAGTGCTAAGTGCCATATGTGTACGATACAAAAAGGTATTTTAAAGGTATAGCATCAGCTATTTTACTTTACACTATTTAGCTATTAGTCACTGAACTAGCTCCTGGAATTTCCACTCTCCATTTAGAGTTTTTATTTATGTTCTATATAGGTTCTCAGTGAACCCCTATTTATTCCAGTTTTTGAGCAGCTTAGTGCTAGTCTGTCTCCCTCTCCCCTGTGTGTTACATTAGGTACACCAGAATTTCTCTCTGCAGACATGTAGTTGTAACTAGACAAGTTGGACACACAGGAACAGAGGGGTTGAGGGCCCTGCTTAATAAGCTTACATGCTAGAGGTAGTGGGGTAAAGTGGCACAAAAGGTAAGGATAAGACTAATGACAGTTGCAAGAGAGGAATCAGTCGGGAGCCATTAACAGTTTAATTGATACGCTTTTATGAAGTAGTGGGTTTTTAATGATTTTTTTGAAGAAGTGGAGACTGGGGGAGGGAAGTGAGTTCCACAGGTGCAACCCTCGAGAAGTCTTGAAGGAGAGCATCAGAGGTGGGAGTTCGGACAGAAGATAGATGTAAGTCTTCAGCAGAGCGTAAGGGCCTAGATGGGACATACTTGTGTATTAGGGAGAATAGATAGGTGGGAGCAGCATTATGTAGAGATTTGAAAGCAAGGACCAGCATTTTAAATTGAGCCCTATATCTTACAGTAAGCCAATGTAGGGACTGACAGAAGGGTGAGGCATGAGCGGTGTGGGGCCTCGCCGCCACATTCATTATGGACTGTAATGGCACAAGTTGGGAGCACGTAAGACCACTGAGAAGCGGATTACAGTAGTCAAGCCGAGAAAGGACAGCACCTTAGTCGCATCTGGCGTTAAGTAGGGTCAGATGCGCGCAATGATTTTAGGGGTATGGAAGCGGTAGGATTTGGCGTTAGACTGAACATAAGGCGCGGAGGAGAGGTCGGAGTCAAAGAGAGCACCTAGGCAGCGAGCCTGCTTGGTGTTGCTGATTATAGCACCATTGACTTGGAGGGAAGGAGACACAGGTTAGCAACAGGGCCGGATTAACATAGGGGCTGATGGAGCTGCAGCTCCAGGCCCAGGCCCATGGAATAGGCCCATTGATTTAAAAAAAAAAAATGGTTTTTTTTAAAAAAAATATTTACATTTTTTTTTTCTCCACACACTACTCTTAGGGATTCCACCTGGCTTTTATTTTATTGGCACAGCCAGTATTTGAGGCTGCCTGGCTGGTGCCAATATTGCAGTGATACTGGCAATACAAATGCTGGTATTTTTCTCAGTATAAACAAGAGATAACTATGCAATACCAACACTGGCCAGTAGGGGTCGCTGTGTGTGGAGACAGACAGGGATAGGAAGTTCCAGCATATCCCTCCCTGCCCATCTATACTCACTGATCTGCAGGGGAGCAGCTACAGAGAGTCCAGACAGTAACTCCCACCCTGCAGAGACAGCCTACAGCTCAGGGAAGTAATGGATGGGGGGAAAGGCTGCAAGGAGACATGGGGACACTGAGACACTAAGGGACATTGGGAGACATTATGACACAGACACATGGGGACACAGTGTCCCCACGTCTCCCAGCCAGTGTCCCTGGTGTCTGGGTGCCCCCTAGTCTCCCAGTGACCCCAGTCTGCCAGTGTCTCACTGTCCCTATGTCTCCTAGTGCCTCCATGTCTCTCAGTGCCTCAAGTGTCACAATGTCCCCATGTCCCCCAGCCTGTGTCTCTAGTGTCTGTGTCCCTGGTGCCTGTGTCCCCATGTCTTCAAGTGTCCCCTATTTTCCCATTGTCCCAATATGTCCCAGCCAGAGTCCCCTAGTCTCCCAGTGTCACTGGTGTCTACGTGTCCCAAGGTCTCCCCATGTCCCCAGGTCTCCCCATCTTCCTAGTGACATGGGGACAAAGGGAGACATGGGGCATTGAGACACTGTGATACATAGGATCATAGGATCACTGGGAGACCTGGGGACACGACACTAGGAGACACTGGGAGACAAGGGGCACTGAGACACTGGAGTAATCGACACTTGGGGGCACTGAGTCATGAGGGCACTGGGAGACATGGGGGCACTGGGAGGAATCCATCTATACAGCAGAATCAAACTAAGTAGTTTTTGGTGATTTTACAGAATTTTCTCTTATGTCACTCCTTGTGATTTACATCATGTGATGTCACCCATACATATTTAATTATGCAAATTAGTAAGGCCGGTATGTTTTTCCAAGAAAGGTGGTAACCCTAACTACTTTTCACATACTCTTACTTAAGTATGGAAACTTAAGAGTGAAGTATGGGAACAAAACTTGTGTGGACTGGCTGACAATGAATATAGTTAAAGGGACACTTTAGTCACCAGAACAACTACAGCTTATTGAATTTGTTCTGGTGAGTAGAATCATTTCCGTCAGGCTTTTTGCTATAAACACTGTCTTTTCAGAGAAAATGCAGTCTTTACATTACAGCCTAGTGATAACTTCACTGGCCACTCCTTGGATGGCTGTTAGAGATCCTTCCTGGGTCATGGCTGCCTAAAATGCATCCAAACATTCAGTGTCTCCTCCCTCTGCATGCAGACACTGAACTTTCCTCATAGAGATTCATGAATTCAATTCATCTCTATAAGGAGATGCTGATTGACCAGGGCTGTGTTTGAATCATGCTGGCTCTGACCCTGATCTGCCTCTTTGTCAGTCTCAGCCAATCCTATGGGGAAGCACTGTGATTGGATCAGGCCACCACTTCTAATGATGTCAGCAGACTGCTTGTTTTTATGAGTCTAACAGCATTCAGAGTTACAGCTTCAGGCTTGAATATAGTAAGATTTTGCTATATTTATGGAGGCATGAGGGGCCCAGGGGGCTAGATGGTGGTGTTAACACTATAGGGTCATGAATTCATGTTTGTGTTCCTGACCCTATAGTGATCCTTTAAGGTAATGCTGACTTTGGTCTCTCTAACACTGTGGCATGTTCCCTTTCTTTCTCTGTCCCAGACTATATACCAGGAGCTTCTGCCTGCTCGTAAGAAGGTAAGGAGACAAGTGGACCAGCGAGTACAAGGGAACAGTCCTTAGAAAGCGTTGAGTGAGCGCATCATTAGATGCATTTATGCCAAGCTCAGTGTGCTGTCTGCATAGCATGCCCTTAGTTGGCCAGCTGCATGATTGGCAGGCAGCTGGCCTTCTAATTCTTTGGGCAGACATGTCCTCTTTTTGGGCATGTTCGCCCCTTTTGGCAGGTTACGTAATTTGTGTCAGTGGCACACCCTTTTACCATGCCCATTGACTTCCTGCTTGACTGGACACTGCTGTTAGGGGTTATGGATTTACTTGAAAGATGAAAACATAAATTAGAGAGAGATTAGCCTGGGGTATGTGTTTTCTTATAGCTGCTGTTTTCTTTCTCTCCAGCACCATCTCCATCAGATACATGACGCTTGGGAGTGTTTTACTGTTTTTGGTCGATATGATTCTGTAATTAGGCCCGTCCTAATTGTCAGCACCAGGCTCACTGGGCTCTTAATCTGGCCCTGCCCCCATCCATTACTTCCCTGAGCTGTAGGTTGTCTCTGCAGGGTGGGAGTTACTGTCTGGACTCTCTGTAGCTGCTCCCCTGCAGATCAGTGAGTATAGATAAGCAGGGAGGGATATGCTGGAACTTCCTATCCCTGTCTGTCTCCACACACAGCGACCCCTACTGGCCAGTGTTGGTATTGCATAGTTATCTCTTGTTTATACTGAGAAAAATACCAGCATTTGTATTGCCAGTATCACTGCAATATTGGCACCAGCCAGGCAGCCTCAAATACTGGCTGTGCCAATAAAATAAAAGCCAGGTGGAATCCCTAAGAGTAGTGTGTGGAAAAATTTTTTTTTTTTTTTTTTAAATCAATGGGCCTATTCCATGGGCCTGGGCCTGGAGCTGCAGCTCCATCAGCCCCTATGTTAATCCGGCCCTGGGACAGAGTGCAGTAAGCCTCTGCCCTCCCCTGGTCCTTGATCCAGGAGCTAACAACTCACCCCACTGTGGTGTATCACAAAATTAATATATATATTACACAAGGTTCGTCTACATTAAAAGGTATTTATTAAAAGGCAACAAAACAATACTATAAATGTATCATAAACACACAGCCCAGACCCACGGAGCAACAACCCTTTTTAAATCTATCTATATAGTAATCCCCTTCCCCACACGTTTGATCTCACCCACGGTTAGGCCT